TTTGAATTCTTCTACTCCTAAAACCAAACTTTAGTCTCTTTATCTATTTGTGTCAAAATAGAAAAAAAATAGATAAAATGAATCAACTAATGAAATTAAATAATTAATAATTCACCTAAAATTCTATAAATAAACTTGTAAAATAATAATTTATCAAATGTACTAAACACAAATTATTTGTTGTGTTAATAGCAAAAAATCTTAAGAACTCCTTATCCAAATTTTTCTTATTCCTTTTTTTCTTTAACTTGTGGATACATTCATAGCCTCTCTGAATAGGGATGGAGACAAGCTAGACCGCTTGACAAGACCTACGGTCTAGCCTGGTTTAGATTTGGCCTGACCTTTTTTAATAAACAAATAAGATTTAGGCATTTTTTTAAGATCTCTTTAAGTAAAAAATCCAGGCCTAAGCTGCTTACAAAGCCTGTTACACTTGACAGTGTAACACCTTAATTTGAATCTTAGTTAAAATAATAATTTCGCAAATTGGATAACCAAATTTACATAAAAGATTTCAAAATAAGTGAAGTGATACAAATTAATATCAATTAACTGCTATAGGACTAATTCAATTACAACATTTTCAAAATAACATCTAAGTCTCATAGCAGTTCATCCGTCCCTTCACTGAGTCCGGCGCTAATCGTCTTGATTACCTGAAAAATGAATGTAAGGGTGAGTACACTACACTACCCAAAAACACACAATCAACGTAGAGTTTCCCCTCCAGAACATTTCCAACACATTAAACAAACACAATCACAAGCAGCAATTCACATCCATAAGCACAATTCATAAACCCATGTATATGCACGCCAACCATACTCATTGTGGCACTGTGATCACAGATTTACACCATGAATGGTCGCCGGTTACCCCTGCCTCACAGATACCACGTGGACAGTCACGGGTCACTCAACAAGGATAGTAGTCAGAGGTCTAGTTAGGAAAAGAGTGTGTGGCCTGTGGTGCACCCGTTCCGCAGTCGGTGTCAACACCACTCCCTCTTTCCAAGGTATTTCTACCGTCCTCATCTCCCACATCTCCAGTGTATCGCTAAACCATTCACAGCACATTACAACGGTGCTAACACACCCATTCACACATATTTCATTCACGCGTGCAATAGTCATGCTTACACACGGCACACGGCCCACATGGCACTCAAATACACGGCACTAGGCCCATATTCATTTTATATTACACGGCACATAGCCCACATTTATTCACAATATTATTAATTCACCAATCAATGACATTCCATCACACACAATCACCCTTATGGGATCCAATTATTCTATCACACATCACATTGCATATCAATTTCCATCAAACACACAATTTCTATCTTCTATCTCAGCCACATTGCATTAATCATCAAAACACACAAGAATTATAATACATTGAGATAGGGTAGAGTCCCCCTTACCTTGGATTAAAGACCCATACGCTAAATCCACCAAGAAGTGCTCCCTCTCACGGATTTCGTCCTAAACACATGGAGAGATTTCATGAGAACCCAGGGAAACCACGAAAACAGAGAAAGGGGATAAAAAATCAAAACCCTAACCATTAAAACTCACCTCCAAGTGTTCCCCACGCGGATTTAACCTTCAATCAATCTCCCGAACGGCTTTGGAGGCAATTAATCGGTGGAATAGAGCTTTGAGTCGAGAGGATTGAAGAGATTTGGGATGGAATTTGAGAAATGAATCTCAAATCCCTAAACCCTTTTTTAAAACCTCTCAGATCATGACACTTTCATTACAGCGAGAAATTCTCGCTGAAGCAACGCCCTCTGTCGCCACAGCAAAAAAATCAAAGAAAACTACACTTTGGTTTCTGCAGAATCTCGCTATAGCGAGACCCTCTCGCTATAGCGAAACTGCACCCAGAAATGCACCCCGAACTGTCGCTCTCTCCCAGCAGCGAGACGTCTCTCGCTACAGCGAGAAGGTGACAGTTTCAGTCCTTTCTCCCAGGGTCCTCTCTCTATTGCGAGAATCCTCTCCCTGCAGCGAGAACAGCCCACTATTACGCCCTACACTTAGCCCATTTCAGCCCTATCCAGTCATGCATACACATAAATACACACATCCACGTACTTAATACACATAAACATCATTATCAAATGAATCAACACACACATAGATATATATACATATATATATAATAATAATAATAATAATAATTTATATTACCAAAATTCGAGGCGTTACAACTTTCCCCACCTTTAAGGAATTTCGTCCCCGAAATTCAATCCAACACATACTAGTTACAAGAATAAACCTGGATACAATTCTCTCATTCTACTCTCTGTTTCCCATGTGGCATCTCCTTCATCACTTGAGCTCCATATTACCTTCACCAATGAGATGTCCTTGCCTCTCAGTTGCTTAACATGGTGATCTACAATCCTCACCAGGTACACATCATACGACAAGTGTTCTCTTACTTGAATCGGGTCAAGATCAATCATATGGGAAGGATACGACACATACTGCCTAAGCTGTGACACATGGAACACCGGATGTAGATTTGAGAGGTTTGGAGGCAATGCTATCTGATATGCAGCAGGACCAATTCTACTCAGCACTTCGAACGGCTCAATAAACTTAGGAGACAGCTTCCGGGACTTCAGAGCTCTCCCTACTCCGGTTACAGGTGAGACCTTAAGAAATACGTGGTCACCCACCTAAAACTCCAACGGCTTCCGCCTTCTATCATAATAGCTCTTTTGCTTGTCTTACGCAGCCTTCATTTTCTCTTTGATCATTTTGATCTGCTCATTCTGCATTTGGATCATATCTGGTGCACACAGAGTCGCCTCTCTGGTTTCATACCAACACAACGGAGTCCTGCAACTCTGCCCATACAAGGCCTCAAATGGCACTATTCCAATACTGGCATGGTAACTGTTGTTGTATGTGAATTTCACTAGCGGCAAGCACTCTTCCCAAGTTTCCTGCCGTTCAAGCACACAAGCCCTCAACAAGTCCTCCAGGGACTGGATGGTCTGCTCAGTATGACCGTCAGTCTGTGGGTGATAAGCCGAGCTCAGTCTCAACTTGGTCCCCAACGCCCGTTGTAGGCTCTCCCAAAACCTTGAGGTAAACCTCGGATCTCTATCTGACACTACACTCGTTGGCACTGCATGCAGTCTGACTATCTCCCGCACATATAACTCTGCAAGTCTTTCCAACTTATACTTCATGTTGATCGGAAGAAAGTGTGCAGCCTTGGTTAACCGGTCCACTATCACCTAGATGGCATCATGATTGTTCTTGGCCTTAGGCAACCCAGAAACAAAGTTCATGGAGATACTATCCCATTTCCACTCAGGGATCTCCAGCGGCTGTAACAACCCAAGTGGACACTGGTATTTTACCTTCGCCTTCTGGCAAGTTAAGCATCTAGCCACATATTCAACCACGTCCCTCTTCATTCCATTCCACCAAAAACTCTTCTGAAGATTCTAATACATTTTAGTTGCACTAGGGTGAAAACTCATCTTGCTCTTATGCGCTTCCTCAAGCAGCATTTGTCTCAGCTCATCCACCTGAGAAATGCACACTCGGTTCCGGAACTTAACCACCTTATTCTCATCACGGTGGAATTCCAAGTCCTTTCCCTCATCCTTCTGTCTCATCATGTCTTGCGGGAAAGCATCGCCCTATTGAGCATCTCGAACGTACACCAGAAAGTTGTTGTGAATCGTCGTCGCTCCGAGATATAAACTCCCCAGCCTCACTTCCATGGCCAAATTCATATCCCGAAATTCCTCAATTAACTCCATTTCCTTCACCATCATTGCTGCCACGTGCAATGATTTCCCGCTCAAAGCATCGACTACCATATTTGCCTTGCCAGGGTGGTAAGACAATGTGAAGTCGTAGTCCTTGAGGAATTCTATCCATCTCCTTTGCCGCATATTCAGCTCTTTCTGATCAAACAGACACTTCAAACTCTTATAAACTCTTATGATCACTGAACACTTCAAACATCGCCCCATACAGGTAGTGCCTCCATACCTTAAGAGAAAAAACCACCGTGGCTAACTTCAGATCGTGAGTTGGATAGTTGACTTCATGCGGGCGTAACTGCCTCGAGACATAGGCGACTACTCGCCCGTCTTGCATCAAAATACAACCAAGTCCTTGTCTGGATGCATCACAACATACATCAAACTTCTGCTTCGAGTCAGGTAGAGCTAACACCGGCGCTGAAGTTAGTCTTATGTTCAACTCTAAGAAACTAGCTTCACACCCCTTAGTCCACTTGAACTCCTTTCCCTTACAGGTCAGCTTCGTTAAGGGCAACGCTATCTTAGAAAACCCCTCGATGAATTTTCTATAATAGCCCGTCAATCCTAGAAAACTACAGACTTTAGTCACATTCATCGGCCTCGGCCACTCAGCCATTGCTTCCACTTTTGCAGGGTCTATCATGATTCCTTCCTTTGACACTACATGTCCCAGAAATTGGATCTCTGGCAACCAAAACTCACATTTGGAGAATTTCACATATAGCTGTCTCTCCCTCAGAATTTGCAGGACAATCCTCAAGTGCTTAGCATGCTCTTCCTGAGTCTTTGAATAAATTAGGATGTCGTCAATGAACACCACCACAAACTTATCCAAAAACTCGTGGAATATCCTGTTCATGTACTCCATGAACACCGCAGGCGCGTTGGTCACCCCAAACGGCATCACCAAATACTCATAGTGACCATACTGCGTCCTGAATGTCGTCTTAGGCACATATGCATCCTTCACTCGAATTTGATGGTACCCTGACCTCAGGTCAATCTTTGGGAACACTGTTACTTCTCTCAATTGGTCCATCAAATCGTCAATCCTTGGAAGCAGATACCTGTTCTTGACTATTACCTTGTTCAACTGCCGATAATCCACACACATCCTCACACTTCCATCTTTCTTCTTCACCAAGAGCACTGGTGCTCCCCACGGTGACACACTCGGTCTCACAAACCGTTTCTATAACAAATCTTCTACTTGCTTCTTGACTTTTGCCAACTCCACTAGTGACATCCGGTAAGGTGCCACGGAAATCGGACTTGCTCCAAGAATAAGATCAATAACAAACTCTATCTCCCTCTCAGGCGGTAGCTCAGAAATATCCTCGGGGAAAACCTCCAAGAAATCCCTCACCACCGGAATATATTCTGCCTCCACCGCGCTTTCGGCCTCCATCGAAAACATTACCATAAAGGTCTTGGCGTTCACCATGCTCTCCCATGCACTGTGGCTCATAAGTCTTGGAACCTCTATCATTGTCGCATCGAAGATCAAGGTCTTTGCCCTACAGTCCAGCAACACATGATTGGCAGCAAGCCAATTCATTCCCACAATTACATCCAGTTGAGAAAGAGGTAAACAAATTAAGTCCACCTCAAACTCCCTACCGTGTACCATCATTGCACACCCCAAACACACACATAACGTCACAACCAGCTTACCTGTACGGGTAGTCACCACAACATTGCACGGCAATTTTGTCACATACAGATTCAGACTCTTCACACAGTCCACAGATATAAAGGAGTGCATAGCACCCGAATCAAACAGCACATCAAGTAATCGACCCTTAATAATGCATTTACCTCGGATCAGCTCCTCTGACTGTGAAGCCTGTGCCCCACTCATAGCAAAGACTCTACCAGGAATGCTCGACTTCTGCCCCGTACTTGGCCCTGTACTTCCTCTTGATTTCGGCCTCTTAGCTGCACTTGTACTGCCTCCCCTCTTGGCGGCCCAGCACTCATTGGCAATGTGCCCCAACTTCCCACAGTTGCTACAAGTTATCCTCGGCTGTGGGCAGTCCTTCACCATGTGTGGCCCTCCACACCTGAAGCACTTAAGCGATCCTCTGAAAGAACTCGTTCCAGAGCCACTCTCACTACTCCTCTCTGGAGAACTATTTTGAGCCTGAATACGGTCCCCTTGAGAACCTAGGGGGTCTCCTATCTTGCCTCACCGGACCAGCTCCCCTAGTGTCCACTGTATTCCTCCTTGAGTTGGCTTCAAAGATTCTGCTCTTGCTCACCAGAGTGGGCAAGTCCGTCAGTTGAAACACAGTGACTGCAGCCCGAATGTCTGGCCTCAATCCATGCTCAAACTGAGCACACAAATCCTTCTCTCCATCACCATGCTGATAATGAGGCCAGTACTTCATCAGCTCTTGGAACTTAACTGCATATTCTCCTACAGTCATACTTCCTTGCTTCATCTCAAGGAACTCCCTAGCTTTCTGCTTCCTTAGGTCCCAGGGAAAGTAGTTCCCTAGGAAGATGGTATTGAATGCTTCCCACTGTATATAACCATCTTCTTGTGGCAAGGTCTGCCTGGCAAACCTCCAAAAGTCCTCAGCCTCCCCACACAGTAAATAGGTGGCATAGGCAACCTTATTCTCTTCACGGCACCCCATTGCATTGAAGATCTTCTCCACATCAGTCACCCACCATTGAGCTCCTTTAGGGTTGAACTCACCCTCAAACTTTGGAGGATCATGTCTAGTGAAGGCAAACAACCCTCGATACTCAGCCGGTTCTCCGCCTTGATTGTGCACCATGGCTTCCAGAATCTGAGCCATGCGTTCCATGAGATCATTAGTGCCTCTAGTTCCTCTACCTCTACCAAACATATTCAATCTAGCTACAACAAGTCAGCAATCACATTCCAGCATATTAGATCAATTTATACATTATGATTCAGACAAACAAAACAATCAACACTTATCTTGGATGCTTCAGCCCAATACCCCAGTTTGGTTTAGATGAACTGCTCTGATACCAAAATTGTAACACCTTAATTTGAATCCTAGTTAAAATAATAATTTCGCAAATCGGATAACCAAATTTTAATAAAAGATTTCGAAATAAGTGAAGTGTTACAAATTAATATCAATTAACTGCTACAGGACTAATTCAATTACAACATTTTCAAAATAAAATCTAAGTCTCATAGCAGTTAATCCGTTCCTTCACTGAGTCCGGCGCTGATCGTCTAGATTACCTGAAAAATGAATATAAGGGTGAGTACACTACACTACCTAAAAACACACAATCAACGTAGAGTCTCCCCTCCAGAACATTTCCAACACATTAAACAAATACAATCACAAGCAGCATTTTACATCCATAAGCACAATTCATAAACCCATGCATATGCACGCCAGCCACACTCATTGTGGCACTGTGATCACAAATTTACACCATGAATGGTCGCCGGTTACCCTGCCTCACAATTACACTTTTAAAATAATAAATTATCATAGTTGTTACATTTAAACAAGTTAAGAAGTGGTTAAGTCTTTGAACAAGAACAAGAAGCAATCAAAACTAAATAAAATAAAATTTAAAAATAAAATAATAATATTATATTAATATTTTTTATATTCTTAATTTTATTATTATTAATATTTAATTATTATATTATTTTTTATTTTTTTATTTATAATAAATAGAAATTGCTTAAATATAAATTATATTTTATTTGAAACTAAAATTTTATTAAAAAAATGATAGAAAAATAAAATAAAAAATTTAATATACAATATATATATATATATATATAATAGTACCATATAGTAAATAATATAAATACTATAATTTTAAATAAATTATATATAATAATATATACCTTTTGTAACTTGTACGTATTTTATTTTTATTTGTATAAATTTTTTGAGTAAGGTGCCTATAAAAAAAAATTTAGATACTAGGTCCATAGCATACAATCACACACCTAAATATAAATATGTAAAATTTTAAATAATTATTTTTAATAAATTTGACATAGATGTAGATAGATTTTTTTCTTACAAAAAAATAGTTGTTAATATACATTTGAAATTTAATAATTAATAAATATTTACATAAACAAAAAAGTATAAATAAGAAATTAAATTATTAATTAATTTATCAATTTATATATAATATATAAATATATGTTTTAATGTATTGTATCTGTAATATTTTTTATATTATATTATTATAGTGTAGTTAATTTTAAGTATATTTGTTAATTTAAAATAACAAATTAATGAAACAAATAAAATTAAATATTTTATAATATTATTGGACTGTTGTTATTGATTGTAAAATTTTGCTATATTGTTGAACTTTGTTTGAATTGACACACTTATTTTTTATCCTTGTTTTATTATTATTTATAGTTATTGTGAATATAAATATAAGATAAATTATTATATTTATTTGTACAAATTGAAAAGTAACCAAGTCTTCAAACAAAATTAGAACGCAATCAAAATTAAAAAAATTAAAATTTAAAAATGAACTAATAATATTATAATTTATTTTTTATTTTATTATTATTAATATTTAATCATTATATTAATATATTATGTTATAATTATTTTTATTTATAATAAATAAAAATTATATTATATTATGATTATACATGTTTAAATAATAAATTTATTTAATAATAAATTATTATATTTATTACATTTAAATAAGATGAAGAACGTTTAAATTTTTAAACAGGAACATAACACAGTCAAAACTAAATGAATTAAAATTTAAATAAAATAATAATATTATATTAATATATTTTTTCATATTTTTAATTTTATTATTATTATATTAATATATTATGTTATAATACGTTTTATTTATAATAAATAAAAATTATTGAAATATGAATTATATTTTATTCGAAAGTAAAAAATTATAAAAAATAAAATAAAGTAAAAAATTTAATATATATATATATACATAATAGGACCATGTAATAAATAATATTAATAATATAATTTAAAATAAATTATATATAATAATATATATTTTTGTAATTTATCACGTGTCTTATTTTTTTTATAAATTTTTTAGTTACAGTATTCATAAAAAAAATTTAGGATACCACAGTATACATCTAAATATAGATATATAGAATTTTAAATAATTATTTTTAACAAATTTGACATAAATGTAGATAAATTTTTTATTAAAAAAATAGTTATTAACATATATTTAAAATTTAATAATTTACAAATATTTACATAAATAAAAAATATATATAAAAAAATTAAATTATTAATTAATTTATCAATTTATATGTAATATATAAGTATATATTTTAATTTATTATATCGGTAATATTTTTCTATATTACATTAATGTTATAGGGTCGTTAATTTTATGTGTATTATTATTAATTTAAATTAACAAATTAATGAAGTAAATAAAATTAAATATTTTATAATTATTTTATTTTATTTTAATTTAATAGTTATTATTATTATTATTATTATTATTATTATTATATATATATTGTATTGAGTTTAAATTTATTTATTTTTTAAAACATAATAATTTTCTTTTAGCTGATTCAAGAAATTATGAATGTTATTTTTTATGATCAATTTTATGTATTCGCTATAACTTTATTTATTGAATATAAGATGTCTTTAATAAATAAAATATGATCCTAAAAAAATTAAAATATTTAATACTTTAATAATTTTTTTAAAATAAATAAAAAAATAAAAAAATTAATATGAAATATTTATAATTAATGCTTAAATAATACTTTAAAAATTATTTATAAAATTATGTAAAAATTATTATAATTATTTAATAATTATCAATAATACAGATAAAAATTAAAAAATATGTAAACTAATTTGATAATAAAATATTTATATTTTTATTAATATTAAGATATTTTTTTATAGTAAACTTTGTTAATAAGCTTTAGCTAAATTAAATTAAAAATAAAACTTTTTATAAATAAAAAACTAAGCTCATAATCAAGCCTAATAATTATATTTTCGAACCTGTTTAAAATAAAGTATAACCGGGACGGCGTATTTCCGTTTTTACTTCTGAATCTCGTCCTTTTCACTTTAACATCAATAAGTTGAAATTTGCAACGCCAACGGCCCCACTTGAGGGGAGGGGATCTTCTGAAATATAGTTTATGTCATTTCTGTTAGTTTCTTACCTGTAGTTGATTAGTTTTTTTTTTTTTTTTTTTTCCTTTTCCCTCCTTTCAATATGTATAAAGTAATTAATCACCTTTTGTATTCTTTGTACAATAATGAATACTTTCTAGTCATTTTATAATATACAACATCACATGAACCTCTTAGAAAATCTTAAATATTACCTATTCTTAGTGAACTAATATGTTATTATTCTTAGTCTTAGTCCGTCGTAGAAACATTGGTTGGAGATAGAGCTTGGATTTTAACTCCTTTTTCTTCCATTTATTTTTTCATAGCATTATAAGGATCCTTAAAACTCATCAAACAAATAATTTTCTACCATACATGAACATCTACAAGATTCTCCGATATCACTTCAGTTCGCTAACAACTAATGCTGCTCTTTGTTGACTTGTATTATGGGTCGGATCCAAGTAATACACCATAGAGATAGTCTTCCATTTGAAGAATTATGCTTAAAGTTACAACTTTGTCCAAAATTTTTAAGAAAATTTGAGGTTGTGCATCTCTTGCTTACTTATATTCTCTTTATTTCTCCTATTTTCAACTAATATGAGACTTCTTTATCTTCTATCACTGTCCCTCAAATACAATTGATTCAGTTTAGTCGAGTTGTTACTTACCTTCAACTTAGGTTTACACTTACAAGTTTGAACCCCATAGACCACAAGTCCATCTTCATTTGTTGCTTTAACTTATTATCCCTCTCTCTCTCTCTGAGTCTTACGAGTCTATAGGTTTGCAACATTTTTATGAAAGTCTTTATATGTATATATGAAATTGTTTTAGTTTCTTTATTTCTTCTTCTTTTCATTGGGCTTTAGGTCTTGGGTCACACGTCTTTTTTCTCGTACCATAAATGAGCCATGAGGCCATGTAAACTCTGATATCATTTTTGCTTTTATAGACGGGCCAGATTCAAGCAGTACACCGCAGGGAGAGCAATCTAGTTAAAGAATTAAGCTTGAGGTTATACCTTTGTTTAAAATACTTAAGACAGTTGAATTTGTGCATTTTCAGGCAATGTGACATTTCTTTAACTTCTTATACACTTGCGATAAAATCAATGTTAGATTGGAATTCTTTTATGTGCAAGGATTCAAATTTATCCCTTATGATATTGATGACTAATTAGATATATATATATATATATTATCATATCAATAATATACTTAGATATACGATTGGCATTGTGATATTGACGATTAATTATATACATGAATTTTATATATATAACGCATTCTAGCAATTCATGAACAATACTTCTGTAAAATGTTCATAACTTTTTATAAAGCCAGGATAACAATTTTTGCAAGACTAGCATGTTTATGAATTGAAGAGTGAGAATTGTATTGGAGTTTAATTCACTTGAACTCTTAAAGAAGTAATTTGTCAATAAATCTGTGTGCGCATACATAGGTTATATAATTAAGAAAGAAAGAAAGAAAAAAATGGTTCATAAAGTATCCGAGAAAGGTAAACCTGAGAACATTAATCTTGGTATGAAAGAGTTACTATAATGTATTATATATGATTTTTGCCAAACTATTTTTATAAAATTTTGTTTACTAATATGCGTACATACATACATATCGTAAAAAGTTACATATTGCGTGTAATTAATTTGTTATACAACTGCTAGAATTTGGTCAATGAGGCATGTTTAGAAATCACAAAAAACTGTTGCGTTGAACATTTGTTAAGGGCTATACCATGCCCTTTTTTTTTATTATTATTATTAAAATAAGTGAGTGACAATCAACAGTTTTGAAAAAAAAAAAAAAAACAAACAAACAAACAAAATAGAATAAAGGTAAACGCTTCCCCAACATATATACGTTTGGATGCAAATGAAGAAAATTGCTTCGCTCACAGTCATTGATGGCATCCTGCTCCTTCAAGACTTGTTTAGCAAAGCTAGCTCGTAAGATTTTGATCTCCACCTTTTCAATTCACAGAAGCTACACTTTAGTTTCTACTAGATAGCTTGTATTCCAACATTATAATAAGAGCCATATAAAAAGAAAAGGAATAAAGGATATTAACCTGTATATATTTTCAGCGGTACCAAACTTGACGGCTGAATTTACATAACCTAATATTCCAATTTAAAAGAAGAAAAAAAAAAAAAAAAGGAAAGAAGATTGTCTAAGAGTTTATGCAAACTAGGTTTTACTTCTATTGACACAGTTTTATTTTTGTATCAAAAGCGGAACTAAACTAGGGTTTCCCAATTGATGTAACTGGCAGAAGACAATGTGCCAGTTTATGTGGAAAAGAAGCTTCAAAAGGGAGTGTATATTTGCATCTGACTCAAAATGTGCTCAAAGTTGTCTGTTGTCTTCTCAATTGGGTGGGTGTGCACTCCCTCATAAGTGGTCACCACTACCCCTTCATCTTTGGTTAAGCGTTGGACTTGCTTTTTCACATTGCATCCTTGATGCGTGCACCGGTAATAGCTCCTGCAAATAAGAGAACCAATTCAGTCCACGTATTTGGCTCCACATTAATTTAACCATGAATTTCATATGGAGAGGGAATCAGATTTTTTATGGTATTAGATACAAAGTACCAGCTCTATTATTTCAACTACTAAAAATTAATACAGTATGTAATAATAGTATTACATCATTATTTTCAGTTCTTACATACTTTTTATCTTTTTTATCTACATGTATCGTTAAATATTATTTCAAATATAGAAAAGACACCCCTTTCTAGTAGCTAGTACAGGAAATATTATTGAGATAGTATATCATGTATGTGCATAATTACAATTCAAGCTTCAAACTTCTAGGCATTAATGATGGCCTAAAGTCTTGACATGTGCTATATATTCCATCTTTTAGCTACTGTTTTGAATATAAGAAAGCAAGCAATAATGAAAAGAAAAACAGTAAAACAAAAATGAAGACTAATAAAAAATATCACGCATGATACAAGTTATCCCAATGGTGGAGGAATATCAGATATGCTGCTGCTGCTATGGCATAAAATCATCGTCCCGATGTGCAGCGTATGGAGACAAAAGTGTATATGTGGATTTGTTGATGATTTCAATGATCGATCATCATCCACCATGTGTAGCTCCATTGAGTTTGGATTGGACTATTATTACAATAAACAAAAAATATCCAGAAAATTTAAATGGTCGCCAAAATAACCATTCATCTCGTTTAGATCTTTCTTTTTGTCCAGTTACATAATAGATCATGAAAGCATTTGAAATAGTTCATGATTTCTCATAAAAAAAATAGTTTAAAATTTTTATACATTCCTTTTAATTTATTTTTAAAAAATGTACAATCAAATTTATGTTATAAATTTTCATATGATAACAGTGTTTAATTATTAAATTATCTATTCAAACATGATATTCACTCTATTGCGTGCACGCAGGAATGCATACACATGCTTCCTTCTTCTATTCCTGTTCCTTTTGATTTGACGTACACATGTGCAGCACATTAGAAAATAAAGACAGAGAAGGGAATCTAGAGGAATGGAGAAAACAAAAACCCAACAAAGGGAACAAAAAGAAGATCATGTTAGTATTTTCATTTACCGGTTAGAAAATATCGATCCTCAGCCAACAATCCCAACGAAACAATTGAACCAAGACTTCTAGAAAGCCTAGTATGAACTCAACAAGAACCTCTTTTTTGTTTTAATTCACAATTATAATTCAACGGGATAAGAACTATATAGTATATACATGGTGGGGTCTCGTCATATTCTTAGTAAAATTGTGCACGTATATTCCAAGTCAAACATATCAGGCGCCAATGGCCATTGCCACATGGAAAAAGAAGACGAAGTATTAATTAGAATCAAGAGAGGAAAAAACCACAGAAACATTAAAATTTGGAACTAACCTTGGGAATTTGTTGTTCTTAACAGCTTTTTGGCCATACTTCCTCCATCGATACCCATCATCAAGTATATCAACTTGGCTCCTTGTTTGAAAAGCATATCTAGGCTTTCTAACCTTTTTCTCCCCTTTCTTTTTATTGTTCCCTGAACCACCTAACTCATCACTCACATTAATGCTCCCACTGAACTGAGACATTAAACCATCTCTACCACCTTCTCCTTTGTTCACCAACTTCTCATCAAGATGATCACTACTTTCATTTGTAGGCCTCAAACCCAGAAATGCGTTGTTAGAGCTTTGACCACTAAAACCATGCTGAGAGCTTCCTAGAACACTTGCTGAAGCCGGGTAGCTAGAAGAATTTGGACAGGGGAACAACATGGAATAATTCTCCATTGAAACCAACCAAACTCAAATATTCTTTGTCACTATATAGATATGTGTGTAGCTAGAAATTAAGAAAAAAAAAAAAAAAGATGTAGCTTAGGAGCTAGAGGAGGGTGAAGGAAAAGTGAAGAAAAATTTTATGTGGTAAAAAGATGAAGAAGAGGAAATATAAATGGTGGGGGCGGCGCTTAATCTAAACGTGGTTGATATAGTGGATACATACACCGAATGTGAGGAAAGAGAAAAGAAAGTCCAAAGAGATATATATACAGTGCCCCCAGTGTCGTAAACGGCACGAAAATTGTCGAGTGTATATGTTGTGAATATTGAGCTTTATTTATTTTGAGCAGCGTAGAGGGTTTAATTGGAATAAGAGGGCGCTCAAGTCTATGGTGGAATTCTGAGGCGGCTCCATCATTAGGATAAAGACATTACTGTATTGTTTGGTGAGTATTTCTGAAACCACATAGCCAATAAGATCTATGGATTATCATTTTAAATTTGAATGTATATATATCTATTAAAGGGAAATCAAATCACATGTTCACCCTTCAATTTAAAATATTACTTTGGTTAAAAAGTTATCAATTAAAAAATATCACTTTTTAAATACGTATCATTTTTTAATTGAAGAAACGAGAACGACAAAAAATAAAAATATTCTTTGTATCATTAAAACTAGATGATTTTTTTTGTTTACTTTTGGAAAACTGTTTTTGAGACCCTATGAAAAATAAGAGATAGAAATAATTCTCTCTATATATACATAAAATAAAATGAAGAAACTTAAAATCATATAAGAAAGAGGATAACTGTGTCTACGCTGTAGGCTATTATAGTTATTAGCAAGACAATAAATTACCGGAGTTTAATTTAAGTAATATTTGTTTGATTCCTTTTAAGGTGTAGTTTTAGATTAATTTAAATTTTATGAAAAGAAAAAACTTTCACTGAAAAAGGTATTCCATCGTATTGTAAATATTTTTGGCTCAAATAAGGTTATTTTTATAAAAAAAATAGTTTATTTGTAGTCTAGATAAAAAAAATTTAATAAAATGATAAAAAATAATTCAGATTTCAAAGATCTGTGTAGGTGACGGTAAGGGGTCATCGTTTGTGAATGTGGTTTGTGTTTTGTTCGAGGTAGTCTTGGCGAAGACTAGAACCAGTTTTGTTTGGACTTATAAATAAATATGAGGGTTATGGTCACAGATCACACGTGTATAAGGTCATTTATCGTAATAAAGTTTTGATCAGGGAGAGAGAATGGGTGGGTGCAAAGTTTTGAACGTAGCAGCTTCCATGAAATATCTAGCTGCCCTAATAAACGATAAGTCTAGATTCCAGAAGGTTGCCTCCATTATATTTGTAAAAGTTTATCTAAAGTGATTTGGGTATATGAACATTTAATGGAATATATATTTCATGACAAATGTTAATGAGTGATTTAAGATTATTTCTTAAGAAATTTAAAATATTATATAAATTATAAAAAATGTAATTAATAGTTTTTAAAATTTTTTTATGTAATCTAGCATATTTTTTTTAAATTTCTTTTTTAATTTGATTTCGTAATCTGTGTTCTAAAAATATTGGTAACCAAGACTTGTTTTATTGAATAATTTTAAATCGTCCTATTTTATATCCATACGAATTTTCTAAACTATAAAATAAATAAATTATAATAGCAAAAAAATTATTAAATAATTTGTATGTTTTAAAATAATAAATGTATGTATTTTTTTATTTAATATATTTTTAAAATAGTAGGAGGACTATTAAAAAATATCGTTTTATTTGTTGCTTAATTAATTAAGTAATGAAAGAAAAACTTTACTTTTGAAAATGTATATTTGTAATGTTAATCAAGTCACATTATACATACGACAGTAATATTACATATCACAAAAATAATATCAACAAAATAATTGAATGAAGAATTTTCATGCGCTATAGTATTAAACAACACTCATGTGTTATCTTTCTTCTGTTATTTGTAATCCTTTTTTTCTTTTGAGAAAAATTGTAATTTCTCAGTAGCAGTTTTCATAAGAAACTATAAAAAGAAAATTCAATTTAATTTTTTTGTACCTTCTTTTCTCTTTGCAAAGGAGGTCTTGTAAAAATAATTGTTAACGAATAACTACAACCATTAGACTTTGTATTTCCTAAACAAGGATTGTGGTTATACTATTTTCACCCAGCCGAATGCATATGAGATGTTTGTAGGTTAAGAACTTTTAGAAGCTTTCATGTGTGAAATTTAACTTAAGCAAAAGCAATGGTACGAATGCAAAAAGGTGGCCAATACTAGGCCTGCCACATACAAGTTTAACCAAATATAAGCCTTAGTATTCAATATTTGCGCAAGGCAAACATGTTTGAAAATGGTTGGTAACATGTTTATATCTAGTATGGTGAATGATTTAACGTGATAAAAAACTTAAAATAGTAATGAATATTAAGTGTTTAAAATTAAAATTAAGTTAAAACATATGTAAATATCAGTTGGGCGAAACTTAAAATATTTGTTTGCATGGGCATTACGTCAGTCAACGAAGGTAGAATCAAATGCTCAGGTAAATATAGACGCGTGAGAACAAAGTATTGTTAAGAAGATTAATCCACGACAGAAGAGACACAGTTTTCTGAATTAGTGGCTATATGAGATTGACTACCGAGAGAAGTGTACACGATACAATAACTCAAGAGTTAAAGGCATAGAATAGTTATTTTAAGCAGCAGATATCCTTGGTGGTATTAATAACACTTTAGGTACAACAAAGTAATTAAAACTATACTTAAATTTGAACACATTTATTTGTTTTATTTCGATATAATGAGTAAACATTTAATGTTAATATTTAATATATGACTTATCAAAGTAGATTAAATTAATGTGTTCAAATTTGAGTATATTTAAGATGAAGTTGTTTAATCTTATTTTTACTTGCCTTAATAAGGTTGGTTTTCACTTGATACCCGCATATTTTACATATTAATAGTCCTAGAGAGGCTCATGGTTCAAAAAAAAGAGTCCAAAGACAAACTCTAGTGAAGGCAATAGGTGTGTAGTGAATATTAAGCTAAGTAAAGACGCAATCAAAAAACAAGATTGGATGATTATATACAAAATTTCAACAAAAAGAATACGTACTGGGCATCTCTGCATTTGAAACGTACCCAGGCATTTTATCGAGCTATTAACTTAATCTCAGTTTTCTGGTTGGATACTCTATAAATTTAATAACCAAGCCTAACCTTAACCGAGGTTGACTATATGGATCGCACAACGATATTGAGTTTAGTTAAAAACTATATTTTATAATTCAATTAATTAAAAAATCTTTTTTAATAATATTGTTTAGATCTCCCTTAACTCCTTTTTATCGAATTAAGAGTCATGCAATTCACTCTTCCTATTAACGTTTTTATAGGTCTTCTTTACACGTCATCAAATTACCTTAGATGATTTTCAATCATTTTTTCTATTATAGGTACTCCAATATTCTCTTGTGTAGTATCATTTTTTCTCCTGTCTTTTTTCATGTGTCTACCCATCTACTTTAACATTTTTATTTCTATCACTCTCACTTTTGTTTTTGTTGTTCCTTCGAGGCTCAATACTCACTACTATATAGGATATGTGGTCGTAATGCAATACAATAAAACATTCCTTTCAATTTAATAGGTATTTTACGATCACAAATATCTATTGATTTCTTTCTCCACTTTAATTACTCACTTTACATTTTGTAAGTAACATTTTCATTAATTTTCATTATAATCAATTCCAAGTACCTAAAATTAGAAACTTATAGTATAATATTATCTCTGATTTTAACTTTCGATACATGATCTTCATAATTTTTATTTTTATTTTTGCTAAACTTACAAAACATATACTCTATCTTCTACTCAAGTAGAAACTAGTAGATTCTAAAAATTTTCTCCATAAGTCAAGTTCATCATTGACATCTTTTTTCGAGTTCTTAACCAACATTATATCATTTGTAAAGAACATGCACTAAGGGATTAATCTTTTGTATGTCATTAGACTAGATTAAATAAGAACTCAAAGTGAAGGCTTAATGTAAACTTATTCTAATTGAGAAGTTCTTAAATACGCCTTCAAAAGTTCTCACGCATACAATTATCCCCTCATACATATTTTATACACTCCATATATATGTTACATGAACCTTTTTCTTTTCTAAAACCTTTCATAACACTTTTCTTGATATTCGATCATATGTTTTTTCCAAGTCAATAAAAGTTATGTGTAAGTCAATTTTTTTGTAGCAATATATTTTCACTATCTTTTGTGAAAGATATATAACTTCTATTGTAGACCTTCCTAGCATAAAACCAAATTGATTTATCTCTCAATTTTCTCCTATATTTTATGTTTAATCACATTTTCTTGCAACTTCATAGTATAACTTATGAGTTTAATCTTTCTATACTTCTCATAATTTTAAATATCACCCTTATTCTTATACATATATAGGAACTAAAGTACTCTTCTTCCGTTCTACCACATTCTTATATTTCAAATCTCATTAAAGAACTTAGTGAATAACTCCAGTCTTTATTTTTTTCTAAAATTTTTCAAACTTCTATAAAGATATTATTAGGACCAGTCACTTTATCATTCTTTATTCTTTTAAAAAAAATTTCTCCAACTCAAATCCTACGATAATGTGTTAAATTTATATCATTAGCTTACACTTCTAATCTTACTAAAATTTTATTTGCTCCTTATCCCTCATTAAAAAGTTTATAAAAATATTTCTTCCATTAGTCTTTGATGTCTTGATCTGAAATCAAAACTTTTTTATTTTTATCTTTAATACAACTAACTTGATTAATTTATAATTTTAAATGACTTGATTAACAATTATATAATTTGATTTTAATGCACAAGCATGATCATCATCTTGGAAAAGAATAGAAGTATCCTTGTACTTTGCATAATTAAATATTTTTCTTAAAAAATAAAAATAAATATAAATATAAATATAGATTTACGAATTGATGGATATGCTTCTGTCAAAAACCTCATGGGCATAGAGAAATATTTCCCCTTATAGTCATTCACAGTTGGTCCACTTCTGATAATAATATAATTGGTAGTTATTATATATATATATATATATATATATATATATATATATATATATATATATATATATATATAAGTACATAAGTAATTATGAGGTGAATCATGTAAGAA